GCGCCAGCCCTTGCGAACGGGACGTCAAGCAGATAGTCAATGACGCTTGTGTTAAGTTGGGCGTGTCCATCTACAGGGGGAACATTCAAATCGTAAGACATAGTCTGGGCTGTTTGTTATTAGTACTACTCTTATTTTGACAACTTTGAAAGATGTTGTGTGTATGTTCAATTCTCTATTCTTCGTCTCAACTCCGCCTGTAGGGGGACGTGCCCGCCCTCAGGCTTGTGACCCGTTGCAAGACGTCTGGCTCGGGACTTCTTTATCACATTTGCATGCTCGCTCGTGTCTCTCTCAATTTCTCTTTGGCCCACCTTCTTTCTGGAAATCGACTCGGCCGAGCCGTCCGAGCTTGGAGTCGTTGATAATTCGTTTTCTGGCGACGCCAGTGTTGTCCGTGGTATGAACAGCTGAGCTCGGAGCTTCTTCAGGTTCCCGCCCACGGCGTGCCTTGTGCTCAGTGACTTCGGAGCCTTCTGGGACTCCGCGATACGCAAATCATGTTGTGCCCCATATATCTGCTCAAAGTGCGATGCAGGGTTGCTTGGACTGCGGGCGATACAGACAGGTCGGATGGGGAGGAGGAAGAGGCGGAGGGGGGACGAGGGGTGGAGGGAGGAGGGTGTGTGTAGGTTGCAGACGATGGAGAAACAACCTCGCATCCAGCGAAAAGGTAAGAACAAGGGAAGCCTGGGAAGGGGGACAACTGCCCCCCCCCCCCCCCCACACACACACACATACACACACGCGCACACACAACACACACACGCACACACGCACACAACACGCGCTCAACACATACACACCCACCACACACACACGCACACACACACACACACACACGCACACACACGCACACACACACGCACACACACACACACGCACACACACCCGCACACACGCACACACGCACACACGCACACACGCACACACGCACACACGCACACACGCACACACGCACACACGCACACACGCGCACGCGCACGCGCACGCGCACACGCACGCGCACACACACGCACACACACACACACACACACTCACTCTCACACACACACACAAAAGAGGGAGAGGGAGTGGAGGAGGAGGAGGAGGACGAGGAGGGAGGCGGCGGGTGCAGGAGGAGGAGGAGAAGAAGAAGGATGACGAAACGGAGGAGAATATGGAGGAGGGGGAGGAGGAGAGAGGAGGAGGGATGAGGAGGATGATCCTGGAGGGGGTTTCTAGGGGGTTCGAAGAGGTTCCAGGTATGCGGGAGGAGGAGGAGGAGGAGAAGGAGGAGGAGGGGGGAGGCAGGCGCCCCTCCCTCGCCCTCCCTCACGCCCCCTCCTTCTCCACAGACCTGCGACGACGGGGTCTTCTCGAGTCGCCGGTCCCCCTGGGAGCTCTCGACCCCCTCCCAAAAGACTGTTCTCCGCCTGCCTCCCGAGAGCTGCTCTTTCCGACGGCCCCGGCTGTCCGGAAGCGGCCCCGCAGACCTCAGTGGCACCGTACAGGAGCACACCCCGAACCCATCGATATACATATGTGCATATATTTGTACATGTTCGTGTGTGTATGTATATATATATTCTCATACGCACCTCTCCGAGGGAGTAGAGCTCAGAGGCGATTAATGCGCACGCGTTCGCAATTGTTCTGGGCGTTTCGCTCGGGACATCCTCGAAATTCTGAAAATCGGTGGCACCCCTCACGCAGATCGTGACGTCAGGGTCCAAAAACACATGGGAATTTCAACATTTTAACATACAACCTTCAAAAACACATGGTAATTTCACTAATTGTGACACCGATTCTCAGGGAATGGCGGTTTCGCTTGAAAAATCATTCCAAAATCGAGCCCCAGACCCCGCCTCGGAGCCTCCTGGGGGCCTCCTGGAACCTCCTGGGGCCTCCTGGGGCTTTCTGAACCTTCTGGCACCCCAGACCCCGCCTCGGAGCCTCCTGGGGGTGTCCTGAAACCTCCTGGGGCCTCCTGGGGCCTCCTGCGGCCTCCTGGAGCCTCTTGGGGCCTCCTGAAGCCTCCTGGGGTCTCCTGGGGCCTCCTGAGGCCGCCTGGGGCCTCCTGGGGCCTCCTGGGGCTTCAGAACTACATGCACACAGAGACACAAATCACGCCCAACACATCACACGCTAGACAAACATAACACACACACAACACCTACAACACACAAAAAGCACGCACCACACAAAGCATACATCACACACACACACACACACACAACACTCACAATCCTGGGGCCTCCTGGAGCCTCTTCTGGTATCCAAGTCGGGCCTCCTGAGGCTTCCTGGGGGGCCCTGGTACACACATCGCAAGGTGTGGCAACCCCACTTGCGCTCGAGTGCGACTTCGATGTTGCATTTCACTCCTGCTTCAAACGCCCCTTCAGTTTTTTGCATGAGCCTGGGCACACACGTGCCACTTGTGTATATATATATATATGTAGATGAGGAAAATATGGGGCGATCCTGGGATTAGTGTATTTTTATTTGTGCGCCCCTGGGCCCCATTCACAAACGTATGATCATACAGTGGAGGCCCATGCCAAGAAACACCCTGCTTGCCTCCAGGGTGCCCTGTTTTTTTTGGGTTTCGATAGTTTTGCTGTGGGAAGCGTGACGTTCCCACACCAAAAATCAAAGGACGTCCTGGGGTCTCAGGGTTGGGTTTTTTGTGGAAGGTTTCTTGTGGTCGTGCCCCCACTGCATGGGTGCTCATTGACGGGTGCTTTGGAAAATTGCCGGAAGTTGCTACTTCGGGGCCTCTTACTGGCATTGCAGCGTTGCCCACATCGGGGAGGATTGAGTTCGCCGGGTCGCTGGCCAAAGTGCCCGTTCGTGGAGTCCCTGGGCCATCCTGGGCATTGCGTAATGTAAGCGCTCTTAATGTTTGAAATGCCTTCGGTAGATCTCTGTAGGGGCCCACGAAGCGTAGGAAGGGTGCGCCGAAATGGGGCGGGGTCGCCATGCGAACTTTGCCACTGGGGCCTTCCGTGGAGCTCCCCATGGGGCCCGCCATGCGAACTTTGCCACTGGGGCCTTCGCTAGAGCTTTGCATGGGGCCACGAAGCGTGTAAGGGGTGCGCCGAAATGGAGCGGGGTCGCCATGCGAGCTTTGCCACTGGGGCCTTCGGTGGAGCTTATGGACCACGAAACGTGTGAGAGGTGCGCCGAAATGGGTTGGGGCCGCCGTGCGAACTTTGCCACTGGGGCCTTCGGTGGAGCTCCTCATAGTCCACGAAGCGTGTGAGGGGTTCGCCGAAGTGGGGCGGGGCTGTCGTGCGAACTTTGCCACTGTTTTCTTCCGTGGAGCTCCCTATAGGGCCAGGAAGCGTGTGAGGGGTGCTCCGAAATGGGGCGGAGCCGCCATGCGAACTTTGCCACTGGGGCCTTCCATGGAGCTTCCCATGGGGCCACGAAGCGTGTGAGGGGTGTACCGAAGCGGGGCGGGGCTGCCGCGCGAGCTTCGCCACTGGGGCCTTCGCTGGAGCCCCCTTATGGAGCCACGAAGCGTGTGAGGGGTGCGCCGAAATGGGGCGGGGCCGCCATGCGAGCTTCGCCACTGGAGCCTTCGGCGGAGCTCCCTATGGGGCCACGAAGCGTGTGAGGGGTGCGCCGAAGTGGGCGGGGCCGCCATGCGAGCTTCGCCACTGGAGCCTTCGGTGGAGCTCCCTATGCGGCCACGAAGCGTGCAAGGGGTGTGCCGAAACAGATACATGCGGAGGGCAGAGGCAAGGGAGGGAGCAGGGAGGAGGAGAGTGGGACGAGGAAGGAGGAGGAGGATGAAAAGGAGGAGGAGGAGAAGGAGGAGGAGGAGGAGATGATGATGATGATGATGATGATGATGATGATGATGATGATGATGCTGATGATGATGATGATGATGCTGATGCTGATGCTGATGCTGATGATGCTGATGATGCTGATGATGCTGATGCTGATGCTGATGCTGATGCTGATGCTGATGCTGATGCTGATGCTGATGCTGATACTGCTGATGTTGATGATGATGATGATGATGATGATGATGATGATGATGATGATGATGATGATGATGATGACGTTGATGATGATGCTGATGATGATGATGATGGTGACGATGATGCTGCTGATGATGATGGTGGTGATGATGGGTGGTTCTCGAACAGTAATCGTAGAGCGATGGAGAGCCGTGCGGTCTGCAACCGCCACGCCTCAAGCCTTTTCTGTGAGGGCCTCAGGAGGCCCACGCGCAGGGCGCGTGCATGCGCCCGGTGGCCCATGGCGTGACGCTGGTGGCGTTCCATGCCTGCGCCGCCTGGCTGGGGCGCCTGTGGGTAGGCGCTCGCCCGCCGCCGGCTGCACCGGCAGCTCTGGCGCCGCGGCCGGCGCCCGCTCCCGCACCGCCAGCGCGGGGCTGCCCGGCGGCCTCGCCGCCGCCCGTCGCGCAGGTCGAGGACCTCTGCGCGGCGATCGCCTTGTGCTCGCCAGCGGTGGCCCAGCCCGCCTGGCACACCTACCCCGGCCCGTGCCCGGCCTGCCCCGAGCCGGAGCCTGGGCGTTGGTCGTGAGGCGGCGAGCTGGGCTTCGGGCTGCTTGCGTTGCTCTTGTGGGAGGTGATCACCCATGGCGTGGCCGCGGCTTGCGGCCTGGCGCGACGCCTCGCTCGCGTCTTCTGGAGCTCGTTGCGGGGGCTACCCACCGATCGCGGGCCGCCGCTGTCGCTGGAGGATACCTCAGACCGTCGAGTACCCCGAGGGCGTGGACGAGTGTTGACGCCGGATGAACATCGGTGATGAGGTGCTGGTGGCGTATGCGGTCCCTGGGCCTGTTTTGCTCCATCGCCGTGTGGTGGTGCGGGTCAGCGCCGTGCAGCCCTTGCACGCGGCGGTGGTCTCGCCCGACCACGATCTCTTTGTTGAGCACTTCACCGCGGACAACGCGGACATCGCGGTTTGGCATCTCTGCGGGCCTGGAGGAGCTGCCCCCGCCGCCGCCATGGGTCAGGCGATCTACGACTTCCA